AAATTTAACCCTTTTATTAAGGTGCTAAGTCATTAACCTGAAACAAAAGTGACAATGTATTAATTTTTCTGAAATGAGTGATCATATGTTTATAAAAAATACGTTTATAAATAAAAATAAAAATGACAAACTCTATAGTTTACCCTAAAAATTAATAAAAAAATATCATGTTATAACAGAGTTAAAAAAAGAGTAATCAACAAAATTTAATGTGTAAAGTTTAATTATTAAATTAAAAAATTTTAAAATACAGAGATCAAAGTAGGGAGAAGAAAGTTCAGTAATCAATTATGCAACTTACCCTTTGTTTGGATTGTGGGGCTTAAAAGTTGGGCTACGGGGGGCCGTTTTAACATACCCAAACCCTAACGCAATGAAAGAAAGAAAGGCCGAAATAGATTAAAGGGTCGCCGTTTCATCCAAATTGAAGTCGGAGCTGAACTTTGCTGGGGGTTCGTTGTTGGAGATTGGTCCGAAACAGATAGGGGAGGCAAGAAGATGGAGGGCGGAGAGATACAGGAGGAAATGGTGGTCGATGTGAGATCACAGTCACCAGCTCTGCCGCGCAAGCCAGAGAAATCTCCTTACGACATGCTCAAAGAAACCAAAGCCTCGGTCGAAGAGGTCGTCGCTAAAATCCTCTCAGTCAAAAAGGAAAACAAAACAAAATCTGAACTCAGAGAACAAGTCACGCAAATGTTCCTCAACTTCGTCAATCTCCGCCAGGTACTCTTTAGGAGAACTATTTATCAATCGAAAAAGGGAAACAAATTGAAATTGAAATCTCGTGTTTTAATTTTATTGTTTATTTTTTCTTTCAGGTGAATCGTAGCATACTGTTGGAGGAAGACAAAGTGAAAGCGGAGACAGAACGTGCGAAGGCGCCGGTGGATTTTACGACGCTGCAGCATCACAATTTAATGTACGAGAAGAGTCATTATTTGAAAGCTATAAAAACTTGCAAGGATTTCAAATCTAAGTATCCTGATATAGAGCTTGTGCCCGAGGAAGAGTTTTTTGGCGACGCCCCTGAAGATATTAAGGGTTCGAATTTGTCTGAGGATAGCTCACATAATTTGATGCTTAAGAGACTTAATTATGAGTTATTCCAGGTAAATTACTGACTAAATCTAAGTTGAATAGATAAACATAATATTTTATTTATATAATTTTAAATTTTATGGGAATTGAATCTTTTCTACACCTTATTCGTGTTTAGAACAACATATAATGTGTTTAAAGGAATTATGGTAAAAATGCGTAGCTAAGCTTATGTTTGCATATGATTTGTCTCAGAGGAAAGATCTATGCAAACTTATAGAAAGATTGGAACAACGAAAGAAAAGCCTTCTGGAGACAATAGCTAATCGGAAGAAGTTTCTATCAAGTCTGCCATCACACCTCAAATCCCTTAAGAAAGCATCGTTGCCTGTTCAGAATCAATTGGGTGTTTTGCATACAAAGAAACTGAAGCTGCATCATTCGGCTGAGCTTCTTCCACCTCCACTCTATGTGATGTACTCACAGTTCATGGCACAGAAGGAAGCATTTGGTGAAGATATTGATCTGGAGATCATAGGAAGTATGAAGGATGCTCAGGCTTTTGCCCGCCAGCAAGCAAATAAAGAAAATGGTGAGTTATGCTGGTCTTCCTTCTGGTTGTGTGCAACTGTGCATAGTGCAATAGTTTATAGCTCTTCGGATGTTACTTTAAAGTTATTCCCTTTATTACAAGACAATGGACAAGTAGGCTGGTAGAAATGCACATAAACAATCAAGTTGAAAACTATGGTTGCTAGTGAAATGAACTTTATTGTGTTAGGTTTATTTCTGCAAAGAATTTTCTTTATGATGTTTTTTTTGTTTGTATTTTACTTCAGTTTATCTTCTTAACTCGGCTCTAACCTGCTCTGGGCTAGCAAATTACTTGAATCTTTTTTTCTTTTGACAAAAAAAATTGAAGTGAGTACGATTTTCAATTATTGCCAGGTTTATCTACTAGCTTAGAGAGCTCAAGGTTGGAGGATGACGTACCAGATGAGGAAGATAATGGACAGAGAAGGAGAAAACAGCCAAAGAGGGTTCTTCGTATGGAGGCTATTGACCATGCGGGAGTCTATCAAGTTCATCCTCTGAAAATTATCCTTCACATATATGATGATGAGGCATCTGATCCTGGATCAGCAAAACTTGTCACTTTGAAGTTTGAATACCTGTTAAAGATGAATGTTGTTTGTGTTGGGATTGATGGATCAACTGAAGGACCTGAGTATAACATCCTCTGCAATTTATTTCCTGATGACACTGGCCGTGATCTGCCTCACCAGGTTTGCATCTATTATGTACATTGCTTCCACCTTCACCTTGGCCTTTTTTGTCAAGTTTTCCTTTTCATGTAATAATAACTGTTCTGAGTTGTATTGCAGTCAGCCAAGCTTTTCATTGGTGATGGTGCTTCATTTGATGAAAACAGAACTTCACGTCCGTACAAGTGGGCCCAGCATTTGGCAGGAATTGATTTCTTACCGGAGGTTTCACCATTGCTTAATAGCCATGAAGCTCCAAACAGTGAAACCAAAAGCGATGCTGTTATCTCTGGTCTTGCATTGTACCGCCAGCAGAACCAAGTGCAGACAGTCGTTGAGAGAATCCGAGCACGGATAAAAGCAGAACTGGCTCTTGCGTGAGTCACTGTCCTGTATGTTTGGAGTTTGGATCTTGAAGAAAACAATAAGAAAGCAAATAGGAGTGAATTCCACAATGTGGTCAAATCTTTATGATATATAATTCCTAATTTTTGGTTTTAGTAAAAAAAAATCTCTCTGCCTTAGCCGCAACTTGTGTGTGGGAATATATTTGTTTTTTCCATATTGGATTGCTCTTAGCTTGTTTTGTCTTCAGTTTGGTAGTTTTTTTTTTTTTTTTTGAAAATCTAGAATTCTTTTATTGAATTATAGGAAACAGCTTGATTCACTTATGAAGCTTAAATGGCCTGCTCTGAATTGTAAAGTGTTCCATGGGCCTTGCATGCTCCCTTGTGCAATTTGCATAGTTGGTCATCTGTAGGATCCGAAGTCAATGAGGATTCTTCTCAACCTGTTATTGACAGCACCAGTTCAAGAACCTATGGATGATATAGATGGAAGATCTTGTATCACGAAGGAAGAGCTGGAAGGTTTTAGGGAAGATGGGGAGCTCCCATCTTTACTTTCAGCCCCATCTGCGACGATTGATACTAAACTTTCTCCACTGAAGGGATCTAGTCTTAACCATTCCAAGCAGTTGGCTTTGATTTCAAAGAGCATTTTGTCCCCAGCCAGCAAGGGAAAAGTTACAAAAAGCATGATGATGATTATGTCTTCATGCTAGAGACGTTTAGTGAACTGGATGAGCCTCTAGAGACAGAGACTGAAAACTCTTCTACTCAGTGCTATGAAATAGTTGAAAAATCATGTGTTGACTATGGTAACAAGGAATTTATTCTTCATTTAACAAGGAAAATGGTCACAAGTGGGCAGAATATGAAACTAGAAGCCAAGGTGTCAATAATTACTTTGTTTTGTTTTATTATGTTCATTAAAGATGGAAACCTTACACACCAAATTGAACTGTTGCAGATTAAGATCAGTATGGAGTACCCTCTTAGACCTCTGTTGTTTACAGTGAATCTTTACTCAGTTGGAGAAATTCTTCTGAGAATGACTGTTCTGGGCGGCATAATGAATTTCGTGCTATGGAAGCCGAGGTATGCCACTAGTATTTCTGAAGTAGCTATCTCGGATAGTGATTTGTTGAATTTTCTCTAGGAATAGTCAATGTTATGACATTACATGAAGCATAGGTAATGGGAAATGATAAAAGGTTTATTAAATGCAGTAGAGTAGTTTTAGCCCTTTTGTTTGAGTGGTAACAATGATGAACTGTTGATGGTTGAGTTCCATCAATTCATTAGTATTCTCTGGACTTACTTAAATTGCATCTCCTGAGAGCTTAATGTTACTACCATCTTTCCCAAGCATGTGCAGCAAATTCTCATTCTATGGTTGCATCGTGCAGGTAAATCTTCATATGTTAAAGATGGTACCCCCGGGTGATGAAAACCATACATTATCACATCAAATATACTGTCCTGCTATGTTGTTTGACTATTATATGGATGAGGCAACTCCATCCTCAGACAAGAGGAAGACTAGTTCTGTGATAGATGTTGGATTGTGTAAACCTGTTAGTGGTAGGCTGCTCCCAGATCATACAGAGGGAGGGATCGTAGGAAAATGATATCCTAGAAGGACATGGAATGCACTACTGGCTATCCCTTTTAGGAATGGAGTTTTGATATTATTTTGCTGAGCTGCCAGAGAAGTAACATGGAGATGAATCTTTGACCAAGAAAGGGTCCGGAATAAACCTTTGTGCAGCAAAAACAGTGATCCTACCAGTGAAGATAACTTGCTAAACTAAAACAGAAAATGAAGAGGGCAAGTGGCTCAGTCTTTGATTCATGGAGTTGCATTAAGATCAAATGACGATGGCCTTGGGAGCCGATGCCCTGCTGTTTTCATTGGTTTTCGTATTCAGGGCTTGACTTGTGAAATTATGAGTGGGCGTGTTACCTAAAGCTATATGCCGATTGACGTCTTCATTTATTTATTTTTTCCTGGCATGTATCTCTGCATTGAACAATCAATGGCTTAAAACACTAAGATTGGGCATTTTCGTTGGTTATGTTTACCAAGAGACTTGATGGTTTAAGGGTAAATAGTTTAAGCAAATATGCGTAGCGCTATCCTTTGATTTAAGTAAAAAAATATATCGATTAGATATGAGAATAACATTGACTAAATGAACCAACAAAAACTAATTCGTTTAATGGTGATGGTGAGGAACTCTAAGACTCGGAAATTTACACATGGTGCAACTAAATGAGCCATATTCATAAAAGGAAATTACAAATATTGCAAGATTCTAATTCTCACTGCACTAGTTTTAACTATCATCGATATCTAACTATGTGCATTGTGCAACCGCCTGCCGAGCATAATTTTAACTAAGAAACAGAAGTTGAAGCCCTTCCACGTTCACCATGGACCAGTCTGAGTTCTACGTAAACATCTCTTCTTAGCTGCTTCTTGCGTGTTCATCCTCTCCATGACCTGTGACAATCAATCAAGAAAATTGAATCTTGATTTAGAATATTTAACTTTCAAAAGTGCCAAGTTTTAAGCACGTTACTAAAAAAAATAAAGAAAAATGTAACAGTGAATAGGTCAAAAGAAAAAAGATGGAGTTGCACTGTGCAGATTAAAAAACGCCCGTAGTAAGTAAGTAGTCAACTAGAGAGTACATAGTGCAAGTCAAGTGTTAAAGAGCGCTACCAAAAATGAACTTGGAACACCCTCAAACTTTCCAGGCAAAAGTAACCAGATTAAAGAGTCCCCGAGCCTGTCCCCATGCTCAGATGGAATAGAAACAGAAAAGCTCTGTGAATTCTAGACATGAGGACACAACTCTAAATTCCTAGAAAATGAGGCTTACGAAAACACTGGAAGATGCATGCCATATGATGATGCCTCTTGATGTTCGAGGAGGGAATACATCAAGTTTTTAGCAAATAAATAAAAAAAGAGACAACTTCTCTTTACCTGATTTTTCTGCATTTCCAGGAGTTCTGCCTGCAGCAACCAAAGTACAGACAATGAGAATGTAAGCAGCTGTTTGCCATAAGCCAACAATAAGAAACATGGTGTACAAATGAAGAAGATGGAGAACATACATGTTTCTTCCGCAATACTTGGTTCACCTCTTTTAGCTTCGCAACCTCTGCTTCCAGTTCCATTGTATAAGCCTGACAGAGAAGCAAAAACCATAAGAAACTTCGAAGCAGATATCCGTGACGAACCATGGGATATAAACTGTTTTGATTGATATAGTTATAACAAAATTCACACGGTCAAGAATGTAAACCTCAATCAATGGTTTTATAGATTCTTATACGACACACAACTTCAAACTTCTCATCGTGTTAACAAATGCTCCATTACCTGGTGACAAGGATCTTTATAAATTCCCATGACCTGGACTTCCCAAAATCTTTCTCTTGTCATATCAAATCACTATCAAAATTACCATACTGCAGCATAGAACTTCCATGAAGTTTTGGAATGAACCAAGTCACACATAATATTAGCAGAAGGTCAATGGCTGATAAAACTCATTAGACTACAACAAAATGAAACCGGGTGGGAAGGTGTTCCTCAAAAGGCTCATCAAAAGACAGTGTAGAAAGTCTATTGAGATTTCTTGGCACTACAATCTAATTTTGATTTCTCAACATGGAACTTAATGTGCTCTAGGTTAGTTCTTAAATCTTAATTGACTCGAAATGCATATAAATTTAAACAGAAGTTTCACTCGGTAGCCATGAGAAAACATCAAATGAGATGACTGATAACATTTAAAGATGTTAAGTTCACATATGATAATAATGCATATATACTGAACTTTACACTATGAGGAACAAATAACAGCTAAGAAGGAAGGTTAAACAAATTTGAGTAAATCAAAAAGTATATTCACCTGCTTGCGAGCACGTGATCTTGCCGCTGATTCTCTGTTCTTTATCATTCTCCTTTGCCTCCTCTCAACAACCTTTTCCACCGCACTGTATTTCCTACCCCTGAAGCTTCCATTAAACACACAAGGAACTGGGGAAACTGAGGAAGTATCTCCACTGCTCTTCCCAATACCATCAAATGAAAGCTGGTTCCCAGGCGATCTGGTCACAACACTGAGTGGCCCTCCTAAACCAACCATCCCCACCCCTCCACCAGCCTGAATCAGACCATTACTTATTCCCTGATCCCCAATCCCATGATTGCCACCCCGAATTCCAGGACTCTCCAACTGACCACCACTTTGTAAAGGCATCTGAGCTCCATACCCTACTACACCAGTTTGCTTAGGAAAAATTAGTTGTTGTTGCTGCTGAGCCAACTGGTGTTGGTTTGATCTAACTCCAGAAACATTGGAAGGCAAATTGGAAGCCTGGATACCAATATTATTACCACCTTCAGGAATCCTATTCCCCATCAAATTTGGACCTTTACCACCTTGTTGAAACCCAATTTCAAAACCAGTATTATTCCCACCAAAGAATCCCCCATTGTTAAACTTCCCAGCCAATTGAGCATCTTCTCTTACCACACCAGCCCTCACCAAAAACTCCTCCAAAGTCATCTCTCCTAAAGTCTGCTGCCTTTGTGGCATATTATTAGTGCCTCCAGTTCCAATACCGTCTTTCCTTAACGAATTCTCCCTTGAAATATCATTCCAAACTTCATCAACAGTTTTCTGGCTAAGTGTTCTTGGCAGAGTCAAAGACCCTTGCCTATGTAACCCTCCATTTCCTTCTACAGCGCCACCGGAAGAAGACATTGTTTGAGTTTCTTCAGCACTCCAAATGTTCTTCAACAGCTCATCCATGTTCATGGAACCGAAATCTTTTCCTATTCCACCCATGGTGCTTTGAAACTCATCAAAGGTTAGAGAATAAATTGATGACTGTCTAGTTAACGGGTTAATCCCCGGCGGTTTATTTTCGCCGCCGTAAAGGTTGCTTTCAAAGTTCTTGAAGTTCATGTTAGTCCCCATTAAAATAAGTATAAAACAGTGTAAAAATAACTTAGGTTATAAAAGTATTTGCTATCACTTCAACGAAAGCAAAACAGATAAAATCCACACAATTTGAAGGTTCGTAAATTTCTATGTTTTTTGAAGTTCACATTTATAAATAAAACCACCAGAAATCAAGATCTATACAGGAACTTTTTAACTAAGGAAAACAATCAAAAGCATGAACATCGAAGAAAGAAGCTAACATAAAAATGGAGGTAAAAAACCAACTCTTTCTTATTTGTTAGTAACACCTATCATTTAAATGTGTAAAAGAAAATACAAGTTCTCAACAATCAGAAAGTTGAAGATCTGAGCTAAGGAAAACATAACCTTTTTCTCCGGGGTAAGAAGGCATTAAAATTTCACAGGCCGGATAGATAATTGAAGAGAACAAAATCAGATAATACAAATTAGTTGATTATTATCCAAAAAATGTTACCCATTTTCTAAACAAATGAAAACAAACAGAGCAAAGAGAAGAATGGGCAGGAGCTAGAGAGATCAGCAAACAAAGGAGCTAAAGTTAGAGAAGATGAGAGACATTAAAAATATATATATTTTTCACCTTCTTTTTGTTGGTTTAATATTTTTTGTGATTCTGGTTGCTTCGTCGGACAGCGATTGGTTCCTTCTTCTGTTTCGCGAGATATTGCTTTTGCGGAAGCGCCAAGTGTCCCTTTGTTCTTTTTTTTTCTTAGAAAAAACATATTTTAAAAAAATCAACATTTATATTATTTTTCTCTTAATAAAATATTTTAACTCAAAAAATAAATTTAATATAATCTTTTAATTAATTTTTTATCATTAATTATTACAGTATTGTTCTAACAGTTTATTGTATTGATGTGATAGTCCACAATATTAACATCCACGGTGATTAATAACGTGTCATATGATATAATATTGAGTTAAATTGATATATAAGTCAAACATAACAAATAAATTATTACAAAAATATTATGAATCATTGTGTCAATATCTTGACCTGTCACATCAATACTGTAATAATCAACGACACAAAAATATTAGTCAATAAAACATATTAAATTTATTTTTTGAGTTAAATAATCATATTAAAATAAAAATAATATGAGTATATATAGATTTTTTTTAATTACAGGAACATCTAATACATTTTTAACCCTAAATATATATGTTTTTCTTGCAAGAGTGTTTTAAATAATTTTAGTGGGCCAGGTGATTAGGGAGGCGTGGACCAATAAGAAAGGGGTTTGAGATGTGGCCAATAAGAAGTTGAAAAATGGGGTGATATGAACCGTCCACGTTGCGTTCTAAGGTGATGGTGCTAGCCTTGCATTTTTATGGTTTTGGATTGTAGTGGCATTATTGGTTGGATAGCGCCGACATGGGTTAAATACTTAAAAAGGTGCAATGAGCAGGAGTGGAATTAGGGGTACTTTCGTCTAAACATTATGATTGTGTGATGTTTATCCTTTTTCGTAATAATAAAAAAAATTATGATTCAAAAAAATAATGTTGTAAATATATAATATAATATATATGATAAAGCTATATGATGTGCTAATAATTATAAATTATAAATTGATATTATTATTTATAAGAATAAGTATTTTAGTTAGAATTTGAGCAATCATATTTAATTTGATTTTTTTTAGATTTCACTTCGTCAATTACATTATAATTAATATGTTTTAATTAAGACTAATTATTTCAATTTTTTTATTTTTTATATGTTAAACATAAAAAATAAATCGTATTTTCCAAAGTCATATTCACACCTAAATAATCACAATCTTTTCTTTCTATTTGCTTTTCACTGTAATGTTATTTGTGATAGGAATTTCATAAATGTTATTAAATTATTTTTATATATTTATAGATATCATTTTGCATTAAGCACAAAGGAAGAGGAAGTAACCCTTATACGCCACTTCGACCCTCATCGATTAGTAAAATTCACCTGCATGATAATACCATCAACCTCCAATCTACATCCCCGTGTAATATATTATTTCTCTCATGCCAAACAAAAGAGAGATAACAATACCAAGTTGTTCGAATAATAGTAGCTTTCAAAGGCTCACCACAACCCTGAGTTTGAATCCGTCTCACCATATCCAACCGGCAACACGCATGTAATCCAATACGAAGCACTTGTTGAATTCCAGTCCAAATCTGACTAAAAAAACTATAAACAACAAAAAGGTGATCTCTATCCTCCACGTCAGAATTACAAAGAATATATGAAAGATTAACATGACCCCCTAACGAAGCATACAAACCTTAGTTGGCAATTGAATAAGGAGAGTGAGCCAAGAGATGAACGAGTGCCTAAGAATATATAGGTCTCCAAACAACTTTGAACCAGGGAACCTTAACCTACTTGCACCAAAAAGCTTCGTAGACCCTCATCACTTGATATCCCCCATCCACGCTAACCATAAGTCCATAATCATCTTTCAACTTAAGCTGCTTCTTTCACGCCTAATTATGGCTATTCTTCAAAGGACCGTTCCAGATCGAGCATCCCTTCAAAACATATTCTTTGACCTACGCTACCCAAAAAGACCCGGACTGGGTGAGTAGAAACCACAAGCATTTCATTATGCATGCTCTATTCCACTCAAGAATACATCTAATCCCAAGACCCCCTTCACATTTGAGATAACAAACTCGCTCTTAACTAACACGAGCACCCCTAGTTGAACCATTGAACCCTTCCATAAAAAGGCATTGCACAATTGCTCAATTGTGCAAGCAATTATTGAAAGTCCGCAAGAAGCAACGATAGTATCCGAGATCAGAAAGTCCGGGGGCAGGGATATGCCTATAATATCACTAACTTCATCACCTGAGACAGCTTCAACATTATTGAAAAATCTGTTTCCCTTTTTGGTCCAAATGGCTAATGACGTCAACGTCAACATACAATGCATTGCTGCCTTCGTAAACAATTTCCGCACTACAACAAATGTGTTTATTTATGGCATATGAAATATCATCATTAAAACTTACATTTATATCACTGTTTATATTTTTTGACGTAAAATTTTGACGTCACAACGAATGTCACGTTAGGTGTATCACTAAATGTCAAATATGACGATGTATATATTGTCGTCACGTATTATTGAATACATAGTGACGTTAATGTATTAAGTCACCTTATAAATTATATTCATTGACAATTAATTATGTCATCAAATAATATAAAGTTTTTTCACTAATTATTAATATTGTCATTAATAATATAATAATTTTATTGTATTAGTGACAAAAAAATATTGTCATAATTTTTAATAATAAATTAAAAGTGTAAAATTACAATAAATGACTAAACTTTTTAGAAATTACAATATACAACACAACTCTTTATAAATCACATTTAAGGACAACTTTTATAAATTACACTAAAGGACAAAACATTTTAGTAAAAGGACAAAACTTTATATAAATTAAAATTAAGGACAACTTTTTATAAATTAAAATTAAGGATAAAACCTTTTATAAGTTATAATAGATACCACAACTTTTTATAAATTACATTAAAGGAGAAGGTTCACATTAATTACAATAATAACATACATCTTTTACAAATTACAATAATTACCCATGATCAAGTTGTAACATTTATACTCTGCTAACCAGGCGACCAGAGGAAATAATCAACAGAGGACAAATCATTCTTGGGCTTTAGTCAACAGCTTTCAAGTCTATGTAACATGCATTGCAGGAACTCGTGAGCTTCTTCCTGTTGATATCTTTGAAAAATGATGCAATACCTAGTCCATTAGGGTCAAGAATCACAATTATGAACATACTTCATTTCTGTATTTTTCTAGTCACTCCCCATACTAGAAATACACATTTCCAAGCACATTGATAACAAATGTGTCAATCTCTTACAATGACTAAAGAAATAAAGTGACCAAAATTTACTAAAAAAAACAATTTTAAATCAAAATCATTCAATGCTTATCACATATTATGTAACGACCGATTAATTATAAACTAATCAAGCAACTAATAGAAAAATAAAGGATACAGTTCAATTTGTAAAATCTTTTGTGAGGCGATACAACTCTTGATGAATTCAATGAAAGTTCAATATGATGACGAAGAGCACAAAGTAAACAGAAGCCCTCATTATCACCTAACAATTCAAACAAAAACAAAAACAATGAGAAACCCCAAAAGAAAACAAAGGAACAAGGATTAAACAAGAAACAGACAATCACAAGACTTCTCATGATGATTCAAAGATTGAAGACCCAAAACAAATGGAACCGTGTGAGTAAAACATTATAACAAAACATTGATAAAGCATGTATTACCCAAGTTTTCCAGGCCAACACCCTGCACAACGAGTGCCAAAAAATTGAATTATTCAAATCACCATTCTACATAAAAATAATGTTATAGACAAATAATATAAAACATTTTTAAGAGGAATATGGAAATTGATCCATTGATGATTGAAGGCAATAACTAAAGATGTAAATAATCATTGCCAATAACACGAGTCCATCATTCTACTTCAACCAACAGAGGGCTCGACAGTTCAAAAATATATAAGTAAAACATGTTTCTCTCGAGCAAACAAAAAAGTTTTGGGAGACCATAAAACACAATCAAAACAGGGTAATCTTCTAGGTGAAACAATTTGGAAATTATACCTCAGTAGTCTGATGGACTAATGGCATCATCAATTTTTAAAACCATAAATTTCGATTGGTTTATCATCAGTTTCATAAGCTTCTGTAGCAAACATGGGCTTCGACCACGAATTTTCCCATGTAGAAAATCTAGAGCCATAAGATTTGAATTCAATGACCCTGACCATACCCAGAACCCATGATCGAGTAAAATCTAATACCACCAGATTCAAAGAAAATAAGAAGTTTGAGAAGGATAAATGGAAAGAAAACGAAGTCAAAAGGGATAGAAGATGGAAGGCTTACCTTCTCGGGTTCTTAAGTTGGTGACGGTTAGAGCTTTCTTCGGTGAATCAAAATGGTAGATAAGGAGCCTAAGTCGAAGAGAGGAACGTTGAGTGATTTCAATCACATCCGAAGATGAACAATGTGAATCCAACGAGTGAAGAGACTAACGCTCTGATCTAGTTTTGCTTGTCCTTATTCATGTTTCGAAAGATTCGTTCGGATGGAAGAGAAGAGAAGGCATTGTGGGTCATTTTGATAAAAAGTATCACCGGTAGAGTCACCTTAGCGCAACGGAGAGGGCTTAAAAGCATCGACAGCTAGGGTTGGATGTTGAGAGAATTTCATTTTTCTTAGTTTGGCATGAGGAAATATAAAGGAGCAACAGAGGACGGACACCCGCGCTGCTATCCAACCTTTGGGATTATATTAATTTTGGTCCTCAGTTTTATTATTTTTGTCTTAATTCTATCATGTTGAGTCAAATTTATTTGCTATTGCAACCCAAATAAATTTTCTTTTACATATGGGTCCTTACATTAATGTGTTTTTATTTATTTTTATGTATTTATCTTATTTAATTATTGTTATTATTACTATTTTATTTTCACTCACATATTATTTTTCTTTTTTACAGTGTCAATTTTAAAGATTAATATATTTTTATCTCTTTTTTATTTCATATGGGTCCTTACATTAATGTGTTTTTATTTATTTTTATGTATTTATCTTATTTAATTATTGTTATTATTACTATTTTATTTTCACTCACATATTATTTTTCTTTTTTACAGTGTCAATTTTAAAGATTAATATATTTTTATCTCTTTTTTATTTCATATCATTTGATTTTGGTATAATCACTAGTATTGGATCTATTGATCGACTAATCGAGATTAGGTACTGTAGAGGCAAGGGCAACCCTCTCAACCCAATTTGCTCCATTCACAATTATTAAGATTCAAATCTCTTACCTTGCTTAAGGAATTTAGTGCTCATCACATTGGACTAACATGTTGTTGGTCATTTCATTTGATTTTATTATTATTTTATTATTATCATAAATAAATTTTAATAATATATATTTTCTTTTATTTTTTGCAGGATCATTTCCTTGAAGATACATATTTCCATAAATATTTTTACTACTACTACTATACTACTACTATACTACTACTACTACTACGCTCTTATGACCAAGTTTTTAAACTTGATTTTAAAGCGTGGTAAATAGACTTCGACACAATTAATTAAAAAATATTGGTTCAAGTGGTAAGCAAGTTGATATCTTTTAAGCATGTCTCAAGTTTGACCCCTTGTCTATGCAGAAAATTTTCATTTAGAGACTCATCCAACAAAATTAAGTATGTGACGCAAATCGGCATCAAAAAAATATTAATGGTAAAAGGTTCTTAAACTTAAGCATACATATAAATATATTTAAAAACTTTTTCAATATAAACCAAAAGGGTAAAATTAAAGGTTCATTCCTTAATTTGTCTATAGTTCACATTTCTAAAACTTATCAATTGGTTATAGAAACTTTACAAACTTTCAAATTCAATCCAAAATTTAGAATTAATATATCAAAAACCAAATTTAAACCCAAAAATGATTTTAATCTCAATTTTGGGCACAACATATTTGATTATCTTATTAGCACTCGTCTTTAACATGATCAACTAAAGATTATTTTTTAACAGTAAAAGAGATCTTGAACATATAAATACATGTACATATATGTATTAACAAAAAATATCTTATGTATATATATACATAAATTTAAAAAAATAAAAAAAAATTAGAATTTATCGCGAATAAGATTTTAAATTAGTGATATATCTAAGATGTCACTAAAAAAATTTCCACAATTTTTTTGGTTAATTCCTTGTGCCAAATATTAAGTGACATAATCTCATGATGTCTTTTAAAATTGTTATATAAAAGATAAGAGATTGTGACAAATATTTGCTTTTGTTATGTTAAACCTATTTGTGGCACAAATAAAACGTTATATTTTATATCTTAAAAAATATGACGAATCAAATTGCCACAAAATGCAACCTATAAGTGACAAATCTGCAACGTCACTAATTCAAATAATATCATCATAATACTAAATCGTCACTAATAGTTATATTTTGTTGGAGACAATTTTATAACATCATTAAAAAGGTTTCCTACCAAAAAGTTTTGGAGGTAAATTTTGGCTCCAAACATATAGTGATGAAAATCAATGACAAATGTTAAAATTATCATAAAAATATATAATAAATCACTAAATGTGACGAAAACAAAAAAATGTCACATTTATAATATATTTTGTGATGTTATTTACAACGTCATATAGAAATTTCGTCATAAATTGATAAATTTGTTGTAGTGCCGATGGCGAAAGGTGACTGTAATTTACCAAGATAATAATGATTTCACTACTGGTTCTGGACTCATAACTCTCCTTTCTGACTCGCTAAGAGTTGTTGGTTCAGAGATTGAGGATCATTTAACTTTCCCACCCCAACATCTGTCTCAGAGCAAGATGATACCATCGGAAAAGATCTTAGGAAGCGGAGGAGCAAGAGCAACAGGGCCTTCATAGTGGCACAATCCTCTATAGAGTTCGCTATCTCACTTTTCGAGAAGGCTAAGCAAATAGGAATGATGGAAAAAGGATATGTATGGATCGTCACTTGGTTGCAGAATCAATTCCGCCGACTCTACCAAGTCTTTTAGACGGTTCAAAACAAAATTCCGAAAGAGCTACGGTACAAGATATGCCAAAGAAGAAGAGTATTCTAGCCCAAGTATTTATGCCCTGCGAGCTTATGATGCAACTTGGACAATTGCAGAAGCCAAGCACAAATCACAGGCCAATGCCTCACCCAATGAATTATTTAAACAACTATTATCAAGTAATTTTGGAGGTCTAAGCGGAAGAATAAGATTCAGAAGCAACGTATTATTGCAATACCTAACCTTTGGGATCATTAATGTGGTGGGTAAAAGCTACAGAGAGGTAGCAATTTGGTCACCGGATTTCGGATTCACAGGAACCTCCGAGAAACATGAAGATCACTCTAGAATTGGAAACATGACCATGAATGAATTAGGCCAGTTTTATTGGCCTGGCGGCTTACAAACTGTTCCAAAGGGATGGACTTCTTTTGGAGAGGACAAAGTACTGAAAAGTGGGGTTCCTGCCAGGGGAGCTTTTAACCTGTTTGTTAAAGTGAGTTACGACCAAAGCGTTAATGGCTCATATGTCACAGGATTTTCAGTTGAAGTGTTCGAAGCCGTTCTTAAACGCCTTCCTTATCACTTACCTTACAAACTTGTTCCGTTTTATGTATCTTATGATGACATGGTGGAAGAAGTCTATAGCAAGGTCAGGTTTATTCTTGCTATATTTCAAATGTTTCTCTATGTTATAGTTATCTATAATCTTCAACTGTGATTGGTGAAACACTGATAGATTCATGTGAACTTTGGTTAGATGCAGCAGTTGGAGATACAGAAATAATGGCATATCGGTATCAGTATACAGAGTATTCGCAGCCATACCTAGAATCCGGAGTTATCATGGTAGTGACAGTAAACCCGGATAAGTCAAAAGAACGGTGGATGTTCTTGGAGACATTTACAAGGAGAATGTGGCTGGTAACTATAGCTATGCACACTTTCATAGGATTTGTAATTTGGCTGATTGAACATGCAGAGAACCCTGATCTCAAGAGCTTTGGGGGCAATGCTTTGGTTCTCTGTCACTGTTTTATTCTTTGCACAAAGTAAGCTCAGTCAAAATTAATGTAAGGGTATGTTTGTTTGCCGTAAAATTAATTACGAAATTGATTTTCTCGAAATTCTGTGTTTGTTTCACGTAATTCATTTTTCGGAAAATGTTTTCCCTTGTTTCACGTAATTCGTTTTCCGGAAAATGTTTTCTAGTGTTTGGTCGGAGGAAAACTGGTTGGTCAACGTAAAACATTTTCCTGCTCAACAGAATTTCCTTTGTGTTTTGTAGAAAAAGACTTATTGTCTAATTTTTCGTAAGCCATTTTCCAAACTTTTCATTTTAAATAATGAATACTCAAAATAATTTTATTTTATGAATTTCATATTAATAAAATATTTTAATATCATTTTAATCAAAATATTAATTATTAAAATATTTAAAATATATTTATTAATATTTCTAATAATATTATATTATATTTTTAATATTATAATAAAATAATCAATTATATTATAATAAGATAAGATATTATATTTTTATTTTAATAATATATAATAAATTTTTAATAAAATTTATATTATTTATTAATTTCATAGAAATAATAATATTAAATTATTAATAATGCATAATATTATTTATATATTTAATATTAATATAATAATCTAATAATATTTTAATAAAGATATTTAAAATATACTAATTAATATTTTTAAAATATAATATAACACTATTACTTTAATAAATAATTAATATAATTTATAATATTTTTATTTCAATAAAATATACCACTATTAATATTTTTATTAATAAAATTATAAAAAAATATTTAATAATAAATAAATTATTTTAATATTTAAAAAATAATAATATTAAGTTTTATGATAAATAATATTATTTATTATATTTAATATTTATAATAAATAAATTTTAAAAAATTCATCAACTAGTGAAAAAAAAGTTTAAATAACATATTCCAAACATCGTAAAACATTTTCCAGAAAAATGTAATTCATTTTACGGAAAATATTTTCTGGAAAACGTCTTCAAAAAATGTAATTTATTTTCCAGAATTCAAATTTCAAAAAACCAATTATAGCCAAACAAACAGATCATAAAAGTGTTCCATATGTTCCATTAATCTCCATAAGAGAACTCTGACAAATGATACATGCAGGAGAACCACTAAGGAGCAATTTATCCAGATTTGTGCTGGCACCATGGTTGTTTGCAATTCTAATCATATCAGGCTATCAGCAAGTTTCACTGCAGTCTTACCTCCGTGTTGACAATCTCGCAACTCCAACCATCTGTTCCAGACATCGACACACTTTTGAGAACAAATGCAACTGTTGGATGTAATGGGAATTCCTTTAGTGTTAGGTATTTGATCAGTGTCTTGGGTTTTAAGCCAAATAACGTCAAGCAAATCAGTTCCATTAATGACTACCCGGATGCCTTCGGAAATGGAGATATTCAAGCAGCTTTCTTTGTTGTCCCTCATGCAAAAGTCTTTCTCGCTAAGTACTGTAAAGGGTTCACCATGGCAGAACCTACCTTCAAGCTTGGTGGTTTTGGCTTTGTAATTCTTAGCACTTTTAAATATTTTTTCTTTATTAAAAGATATTAGCTATCGATTTTCCATAGACATGTTTTGTAAAATATATACTTTTTCTCTGCTATAGGTGTTTCCGAAAGGTTCTGCTTTGGCATTTGAGTTTTCAGAGGCAATCCTCATAGTGGTAGAAAATGGGGAAATGCCGCGATTGGAAGAATACTTGCTCAACTCTTACAACTCATGTTCGTCTTCTACTGCCGTAAGCGGAGGCTCAAGCTCAATCTTAGGCCCTCGCCCATTCGCTGGCCTGTTTTTTGTATCAGATGGAATCTCGGCCTTTGCTTTCGTAGTCACTACTGTGCTCCTGGTAAGAAGGCACGACCATTTTGTAAGGGCCAAACTAAACGGAATGCGGAGGTGGGCTTTTAGAATTCTCAGTGAATGTAGTCGAATTAACACATTACGCTTCTTCCAGGGAAATCCCATCCAGCAAACAAATAGTCGAGGCAACATTCTAATGACATGAATTATCATCTAGCTGCAAACTTCAAAACTTGATTTCTACGGTTTCTCCCTTTCTGTTCTCGCGTTGCTACTTGTATCGTTGTTACCTGAAATCTGGAAACATCCTTTGTTAACCAGTTGTATGATTCTGTGAATCTTCTTGGCTCGAACTCACAAAAGGAGAAGTTATCAAGGCCTGAGTCATCAAGGCGAAAACATTATACCTCTTCTGGCCAGGATCAAGGCTATTAGATCATGCTTCTTCATACTGATGGTTTTCCTCTACGTTCACTAAGCAAAATATTATTTGCTGATTGTCCCCAATCTGTATTGTAGTTTAAAGTTCTTCGAGACGGTTGCTGGAAGAAGGTCGATTTCCAAAGACCTGGAGTTCAACTTCATAAAACAAATGACTCGCATTCTCTTGTGGCAAGCCCTTGGATCCAGCACTTTAGATCTGGATCTAAGACAAGTGTTTTAGCCTCCTGTACTCTTCAAGACAGTTCTTCATCCAGAGGTAAAAATGCAAACAATTTAGATGTGAATAAAGCAGTTTTCTGTATATCAGCTCCACAAACACGTACATGCATGTCATAACTCAGAATTGGCAAGACTGTGAACATAACATTTTTTTCATTTGGCGATAAAACAGATGCCTGAGCTGATATTTTGGTGTGTTCATGATGGTAGTTTCATTAATAGCATTGGCAATCAAGAAGATTTCTTTTCTACTGTTGCTCTTCGTTAGGTATAGGGAAATAGCAAGTAGATTTGAATGTTAATTAATATCTTGGGATATAAACTTGGTGGTTTGTGGAATGTTTTTATTAGGTTTTATGCTTTGACCTTATGTTTTGTATCGATACACTTTCAAAGATAGTTGTAAAAATATAATTATCTTCATGGATGTTTATTGATGATGTTTAGAGATGAAATTCATTAATAGATGTACTACTTTTGTTCAACTTTGGTTTGTTGAAAAGCATGTTTACATGTGAGATATATGATGTCCAATTTCTAGCATTGTTAATAGTTTAGTCGATTGAGTTAATGGGAGTTGATTTATGTCTATTAGTTAGTATTAATCATTGCTACATGCATAAACATTTGGTTCATGACATACTCGTAGTAGAAGCTACCAAATGCCTTTCTAATCTATTCAATCCTTGACCTATTGCTCTCACTAATGTTGTAACATTGTCTGGTATTTCTAAATCTGATTTTTATCTTTAGCCACTAGTTTGCTTCTAATTCTTTCAACTTGAATATCTTTTCATAACTCTTTTGTAACATAATGCTCATTTTGGGTTCGACATCTGATACAGCTCATGTATCCACTTTTATTGCTTGACACGATACATACACTTGCATTAAAGCTACAACATCTTACGTAGCAACATTAGCCCTAATATATAGCCTGCCATATTATCTCATTGTTATTTTCTAGCACTCTCAAACCATACCCGCACTTCAGTAGACAAGTTATTTTGGTTCTGGTACTTTTTCTCCATATATGAATTTAAAATAATATTGACTTTATTTTAGAAAATATGAATTTTCGTTTAATTTGAAATTTGGAGTCATCATCGGCTTTCGGTTAGGAAGATTGAATACCTAAAATTGTCTTCTGAAAAAAAAATTAAAAAATTATTTTAAAGACACAAATTGGTCTACATGCAACTAGAAATTCATTTTTTAAGAATCCGGGAGTCAGTTACGCATGGGGAAGGGTGAGTACCCCTACAACGCCCAAAATTAGTACCTTCAATTATATGTTGTCTAAAATGATGAAATTTCATAAATTTGAACTCAAAATTTAAGTTACAATCCTTTTATTTCTATGAATTAGAGAAAATGAGTGAATCTCTTTTTCTCCAAACATTTGATTCGATGAAAGATTTAATTCCCTCGTTTTTATTTAAAAATCATGCCTCTTGCTATGTGGATTAACGGAAATTGAAATCCAGTTATGTTGGATGCAATTCTATTAATGTACGACGCAAAACAACATTTTCTTTGAATATTTAACAAATCAAGAAAATAAGTGTGTGATTTATTAATGCAACAATAATAAATGATATATATAAAATGGATGAAATATTCACATGATGTAATAAACAAATGAGTAAACAAAAAAATTAACAAGATACTAAAATAAATAAAAGATACAATAAATATTTATTTATTAGAATAATTCCTTTATAAGAAATACGAAAATGTTTAGAAATGACACATTTATTTAAAATGAATAAGATATATATCTAATTGACTTAATATAATCATAAATGTAAATAAGCAACAAATACTAATATTAATATTATTTTATTTTAATAACTCTCGGAATGACACCTTAGGTTTTCGGAGGTCTTCCATAAGTTTGTTGAATAATTGACAAAGAATCTTATATAATTTTATAATATTAATAATAACAAATTTTTACATAAGTACATAATACAATACTTAAAAAAATCTCTTTTCATTAATACATAAATACATATATAAAATTAGCTGACCTTATTCCCATATATAATGGGGGTGAGGGGAAGGTAAGGTAGTAGGCATTATGAATTGCCCACCGTGAGACTCGATCCAACGACCACAAGATTAAGAGTCTTACGCTCTACCAACTGAGCTGGACGGACAATTATAAATACATATATAAAGTTTCTCAAAAATATATATATATATATATACTACACATTTAATACTATACTTTTATATATATTTAAAATACCACTTAAAATAATAATAATAATAATATATTAATATATCCCATTTATAAAAAAAATTAAAAAAATACATAGACTAAATCGAAACAACAAAATAATGCAACGAGCTATTAAGTTAATAATCCATATTAGTTCATGAATATTCAACCAAAATCAAGACCAAAATAAATACATTGTGAAGTTACAGTGACCAGAAGTGTAAATCAAGCATATTTTGACATATAATACTGGTAAAGAACTAATACACAATAAGACATAATTAACAGTCACGATCAGCAATTTACCTAAATCACATCATTAAACAAATTATTACTAAAATGAAAATGTAATAAAATTAAAAGTTTGAAACAAGATAAATGAAAGCTCGTTTTTGGTGACTAAAACGGAATGTTACAAAATATGAATGTCTAAAACTGAGATCGACCCATGCACTAAAACGCACATCACCCCTCCCCTAAACGACGTCGTTTGGCATGAGGTATAAAAGCCTCAAACTCATGGATAAAAATATAACACCCTTAACCCATATAAGCACCCGTATACAAGACAAAGATTAAATGTAAAAATTAAAACCGAATTAGATAGCATTTTGGCAGTTCTATATTGTAACATATCGTAAATCAAAACTGTAAGAAAACTGCTTGATTTGAAAATCGTTTCTATAAAAAATAATTATGATTTAAATAACTAATATTCTTAACTTAAACAAAAATATCTCAAACAAACTCAAATCAGAGCAACTAGAAACTTCTTTAATATACATGTCGCTACCAAATAAATTAATAGACAAGATGTCCTTTTTGATTCTGGTGACATAAATGATTCCTCAAAAATAATACTGACATGCTCTCTATTTTTTCCTCCTATATTGCACCTACGTATGAAATACACACACGCTAAGTTTTCACTTAATGAGGCATTAGGCAAATTCTAATAAACCAAATAGTAACTAAATTGTCTTATAAAATCACAGTATATAAAATTATTAAAAATAACAAAAATTTATAACAATTTTTTTAAAGTTATTTCATATATACAAGATATTAAATTAACTTGCGCATTTGGTAGATCACTTGTTATTTTTCAATTCATATAACTTGTATTTTCCATACTCTAGTCATATAAATTTGTACTTCTCTTGTATTTAATTCATAGCCCAATATATTTTGACTGAGAATATCAGGCACATGATTCTAGTCAAGTCTGCGCTATATGCACATTAAAGTACATCGTAGATATATTTGCATTCGAAAATTCCTCGTACAATTGCACTCGAAAGTGCCTCGTAGATTTACACTCGAAAGTGCAATATAAACTTGTATCGTATAATCACTTCACCTCATGCCATGTTATTTGTACCTCAGATTCTCAATCCATACACATTGGGCTTATATCAAAAATAATATTTTGTTTTCCATATAAAACATTCATATGATTGAATATAAATAAAATTTCATAAAACCAGTATTGACCAGTTCATACCCAAAAATAATTATTCACCGTGAAATAAATAAATAAAATTATAATAAAACATTTATTCAAAATATGATTTGAAAATCTTTTCATTTTAAATCAGTAGAGGTTGACTCATCACAAGTCTTCATCGTATTATTTTAATAAAAAGTTAGTTACACTCACATTTTGCCTCCGTGCACTTTAATTATTATCTTCCTTGCACCTTCAACTTAATCTTTTTATTTTGGTTCGATTTGTTTTTGTTTTCAATCACGATCTTCATATCATCAATTTCCCAACATAAATAATTTCATATATGAATTAATACTTTAACTAATAATATAACATTCATTTATATTCAAACAACTTTCTAAAAAATAAACGACACATAGTCGAAACTAATTTCTCTCCTTTAATCTTGTGAAACTTTCCACCTTAATCCAAATTCAATATTCCCATATTTTAACTAAAATTTCCAGCATTGCATCCAAATTTTCCAAAGCTTGCATCTAAATCCTTTAAGTTTCCTAAACTTTGTAAAATGTCCCTAACAACTTCACTAACTCACCACCAAATTTCCTTCAACTTACAATTATGTTCCTAACTTTTAAACTCCCTCAAATCAATCCAATTTGATATTCTAACACTAAATTTCAGCATAGGACCTCAATTTTTCCACAATTGTGCATTAACCCTTTAAATTATCAAAGCTTGCGAAAATGTTCTCAAAGCCTATCAAAGTTCCAAATTTGGTCCCCAAACATCATTTAAAGCACCTAAAATTATTCTTACATTCAATCTAAACCATTAGGAATTTTTCCAAAATTCTCCCTTTATTTCTTCCCTTAGGCCGAAACTTTGCAATATTTCTCCTAATGGTCTCCATTTTAATTCAATCACACTTTAGTCATTCACACACCATTTCCAATCAATTCCAAACAAATTCAAAGCAAAACAAATCAAATTCAACCAAGTTACTAACATATCCATCAATGGCCAAATCACCAAACCAATCCCTTCAAAAATTTGTATTCAACTTTCATGCTTAATTATAACTCTACAACACTCATAATATCAAAATCAAACTTAATTTCATCAAATTCTCAACTCCCTTTCATCCACCAAAATCACAACTTTCACCATTCAAGCATGAAACCAAGAAATAATTACACCAAATTGTAGAGATTTAATGGGGATTATTTTTATATTTCATACTTTAGTCCAAAATCTAATTAAAATAGATCAAAATTGAAGAAAAAGAAAACTTACCCTTTGGCTATGGAGTCACGGCAGTAGCTGAAGAAGAGAAGAGTTCACAAAAATTCAAAAAAAAAATCTCATACTTTGGCCTTTAAAAATCAATTAAAAATTAATTTTTATTCATTTTGGGTCAAAAGACTAAATTACCATTAACGAATTCCCAAAATTACACACATGCCATTACATA